TTAGGGCTTTAGGGTTTAGGGGGTTGAGGGTTCAGGGGTTGAAATCGAAGCCCTCCAAAATCTTGAACTCACTCGGTTAAGGTTTAGGGTTTAGGGTTTAGGGTTTAGGGTTTAGGGTTTAGGGTCCCAAGCGAAACGGAAGCAAACTGCTGCAACACGAGCCTCGACGCCTGGCGGTAGTGGAGCCTTGCAGCAGACTTGCCATATTCCTAAAGTCAACGCAGTTGCCCCCAAACCCTAAACCCCAAACCCTAAAGCTAGGCCTTTGGGCTTGCTGCTTTTGTTCTCTGAATTCAAGGAGGGTTTAGGGTTTAGGGTTTAGGGTTTAGGGTTTTTTTTTTGAACTCCTTTTTCCGAAGCCCAAAGGTCCCGAAAGGCAGGTACTGCCAGGACTGAAGGCCACATTTGGACCCTCAGAAAAGCATCGAAGACGATCTCCTCCAAACTCGACCCCATACTCGTCGATGCGACAAAGACGGTACACACCTCGCATACATCACGGCCAACACTTGGCTGGCTCGTCATGGTCCTCCACGTCGCCCTCTGGAGCTGTACGGATTCCGCCCCCCATCACCTCAAACACGTCCTGCGAGTCGACCATCTCACCACGTAGGGCCCATTGGGTTTGTAGCAGCTCGACCATCGCATCCCCCCAAAGGTCCCTGATCTGTTGCAAACTGTAGAGCCCCCGTTCATAGTCATTGTACACCCTGTCAAACTCCTCCATAGTGACCAGGCCAAGCGGGTCTGCTGCAGGGCCCGGTGGTGCTGCTGCCGGCAATGGTGTGAAGGCCGCTGTTTCTGCTCACTGTCCGGAGTGGTCATCGCACCCTTCACGGGTTTAGGGTTCAGGGTTTAGGGTTTAGGGCTCAAGTATTCCAGTTTTCGGCTCTAGGATGCAGGACGCAGGTTTTAGGGCTCTAGAGCTGCTGAAGATTCGAATGCGATGCCTTGGGCTTGGGATTCCGGTCTCTCGAAGCGCCTAAGCCCGAGGCGCCAGCCCGAAAACCTTTCGGATTTCGGTCTAGCGCCGGAGGTCTCATCATGAGCTCTCGGGGTTCTAGGTAGTATTATTAGGGGTATCCCTTAAAGGGTACCCCTTCTGCACCCTACTTTTGGCTCTCTTAAACGGGACCTTATTGAGAGGGTCTATATCCCCAAGGGTCCCCCTAATCCTAGCTCCCAGGTTCAGGGGGAATGAGGTTTAGGGTTTGAATGTCGGGAACGAAGACCTTCACGCTTTCCTGTTTGTTCCGTGGCTTCTTTATCGAGCGCTGGGCTTGGGGCTAAAACGTTTCGAAACGGTTTCCAGGATGAAGGCTCTGCCATCCATGATTCTGCGGAGTTAATTGTAGGGTTTAGGTTCTAGGGTTCAGGGTTTAGGTAGCTCTAAAGATGATAGACACTTTTCGCATGAGTGATACGCAAGCGGTTGAATCTGCCATCTGCCCGATGCCAAGCACATCGACCACGATCCCAAAACCAACACGGCAAAGCTTCTGTAAGCAGCTGAAACCTCAGAACACCTCGCAACCCGAAGCACCAAAACCACGAAAGCCCAAGGCGAGGGTAAACCCTACTATCGTAGGCCCATACAGCCTTGTCCGAACCCTAAACCCTATTCAAAAGCTCAACCAAAAGCCCTCAACAGGAAGCCCTGTTCAAGGAACCCCCAAAACTCCAAACCCTAAACCCTAAAGCCCCAAAACCGCTACTCAAAAGGATTCAACCCTAACCCTACCCTAAACCCAAAACCCAAAACCCAAAACCCCAAACCCTAAACCCTAAACCCTAAACCCTAACCTGTGCTCGGCCTCCGGAGCGTATTCTGAGTACGGTCGATGAGCTGCTGGATCTCATTCATGTCCTGGCCGTTTAGTGTTGGGTTTAGGGTTTAGGGTTTAGGGTTCAGGGTTCAGGGTTCAGGGTTCAGGGTGAGGGTGGTCCAATGGGTCGGGTTCAATGTTCAGAACTGGTCGGGGCTTCCGATGCAGGATGTCGGACAGTTACCAAAACCTTCCCCTTTGGCTTTTGCAGCTACCATCTCATTTCCGCCGCATCCTAATGTAGGGGCCTTAGTAATTAGAATGGGGTTTGGGGCTCCTTTATAGTATCAATAAAATAAGGAACCCTAAGCAACAAATGCGTTGAGATGAGACCGTACAGCCCGGGACTGTGAATCCCAGCTCATCCAAACAAGAGTAACAACACGGCGGCTTTGCGTCAAATCTTTGAGGTTTCGGACATTGAGACTCTTCAGAAAGCGTTCCGTCTTTGCATTGCGGCTGCTGTTCTGTGTTCGGATCCGTTCCGCGTGCGCCTTAAGATTACGGCACACTTTCGTCAGAGACCCGGAAGTGACCAGAGCTTAGACAACTGCCAGAAAGGGGCTCGAAGCGTCCTGTAAGCCATGCCACACTCCTGCAGAAGCTGAAAGTCTAGGATTCGGTGAAAATCTGGCCCTTCAGACCTTAAAGCTTAAGAACCGGGGACCGAAGTTATCCCTCAATGCCCCATCCCTGCAGGAAACCCGGAGGCCAAGCTCGGTCAGAGGGGCCAGCATCAGCTGGTTCTTCTCTATCGACTTGAACTTCACTTTCAAGGTCTCGCCTCGGTCAAACTTAGAGTTTAGGGTTTAGGGTTTAGGGCTTTTGGGGTTTAGGGTCTAGGGTTTAGGGGTTTAGGGGAACGAGAACAAGACGAACAGCGAGCAAACATTGCAGCAGCAGCAGCAGCAGCAGGAGAAGCAGGGCTTAGGGTTTAGGGCGGCAGCAACAGCTGCTGGCATCAAGGCTCTTCATGCAGTCGCAGTCGCCGCCACCAGCACCATCAACATGCCCATGACCATCCCCGGAATCATACTGACATTTCCGCTACTTGTGGCGCAAGAGCAACCCCTACTTTTGGCAGCCCAATCTCCGGACCTCAACCCTAAGCCTCATGTCCCTTGTGTACCCAAACAAGGACCTAAGTTCCTGAAAGGGGGGTTAGGGTTTAGGCTTGATACCCCGAAAATCTCTTGAACACTGAAGCGTCCCCTTGGAAGCCGAAGCAACGAAGCGTGCTGTAGATGATGCCGAGGGTGCCTTGCGATACGGTCGGCTTAGAGATCGAAAAGTCTGTGGCTTGGGGTGGAGGGTTCAGGGCTTAGGGCTGAAAGCTGAGGGATTGTAGCTCTTAAGTTCATAGAGTTGCATTGTGCATGATCTTGTCTTTCGGCAAGGTGTTGGGGGGATCCCATGTGGAGAGTCTGTTGTTGCGACAAACTACCGTGAAACGAGCTGGTGCTGGATGAGAAACTCCCGCAGAGACAAATCCGGAGCTGATGTCAAACGGCTTCTACAGGCCCCGCCAAATTGCCAAAGCGATTCGAGGGCTTAGGGACCACGCTCCTTTCTTTGGGGCTGAGACCCTAAACCCTAAACCCTAAACCCTGAACCCTAAACCACTAAACCCTCAACCCTAAACCCTAAATCTTAAACCCTGAGCCATATACCCTAAACCCCTAAACCCTAAACCCTGCACCCCTAAACCCTAAACAGTAAACCCTAAACCCTAAACTGAAAGTTGGGTCCAGGGGTAAGGCGGGTAAGAACACGCAACTCTGCACGTGTGTGTTTCTTCAGACTTGGGGCATCCTAATCAGGAAGTTTGGCATTCGGGATCCTGCGACTAAATGTCGAATTTGAGATCCTTTTTGGCCAAAATCCTGCATAAATCCCTAAACCGTAGACCCTGAACCCTGAACCCTAAACCCTGAATCTTGAAGTGTGGCTTTGCCTGTCACGACTGCTGGGATGAGGAAGACATCCTCTTCGATCTTGCGGTACAGGCCTGCACCTCGGTTTCGATGCTTGGGGGTTTACAGTAGAAGCCCAAGAGTTGGAAACTCAATAGCCTCAATCCTTAAGAGTAACGTATAGGGAATCCCAGCACTAAAAGTCCTTAATCTGGTTTCCAACTTTTTGGGGTTTACTGTAGTTTATGGTTCAAGGCTTAAGCCAAGTTTACGATTCAGGGTTTTGGAGTTGATGTGTCTTCAGGGTCCACACCGGCCACTCCGAACAGCGTAAACCCTGAAACCTAAATCGCATTCCGGAACCTGGGCACTAAGTCCAACGCATTTCAGGTGATCCGCCGCAAACTGAACCCTATAGAAGCCTTGCCACCCTCTGACGAACCCTGAACACCCAAAACCCTTAAACCCTAAACCCTTAAACCCTAAACCCTTTAAACCCTAAACCCTTAAACCATAAACCCCTGAACCCTTAAACCCTAAACGCTTAAACCCCCAACCCTAAGCCCTTAAACTCTAAACCCCTGAACCCTTAAACCCTAAACGCTTCAACCCCAAACCCTCAAATCCTCCTGTATAGCAAGGAGAGAGGAGGATCCTTTCAAAGCCCGGGCACCAAGCACACAGCCGGCGAAGAAGCTGCAGTAAAGAGGGACCAGGACCTAAACAGGGTTTAGGGTTTAGGGTTTAGGGTTTAGGTTTAGGGTTTAGGGTACTATAGGTGGGGAGTTTAGGGTATACAGGGCTCCTATAAGGTATATAGACCTTCTATAAGGCTCCTATAACGGCAGCTGCCGACCTGATGAAATGTCCTAGACTGAATGTCCATGGCGTTGTGGTTCATGGGCTTTAGGCATCCTAGGTTTAGGGTGTAGGCTTTAGGGTTCAGAGTGTAGGGCTGAGGGTTAAGGGTTGAGGGCTTAGGATTTAGGAATATGGTTTAGGACTAGGATGTAGGGTTTAGGGTTAACTTCCTAATCTCATTGAAGACACCGCCGGGCGTAACGAGGCCCATGCTGCCCAAAACTCAGCTGTGAATTGAATTTTCCCCCTTCCTCACGAGCCTCCGCGGCTAGAATTCCCCTATACTCCTGGAAATACAGGAAATCTAAGTGAGTCTGCAGTCCAGTATGCACGGCACAGTAGGAAAGCCCAAAACCTCGGAGTGCATGTGATTTCTCTCAGTACTTCTTGTGGCTGGCCTGGCCATGTCTTTTTGGCTTATGCCTTGAGCGGGGACAGTCTTGGGGGTGGGCTCTTTCGACGATGCAACAAGCTTTCCACAGCGCGACCGTGAATCGCACGCCCCAGTTGAGGTCCAGAATTATACCGACACCCTACAACCTGAAACCTGAAGCCGTTCGAGACCACCTACAACTCGATCCATATGGGATTTCCGGACAGTAAGAGGCCCTGGTAGAAACCCTATGTGGCAGGATGCGCGTTCTGATGACCATTTGCTTCAGGGCATCCCGAAACAGAAATCTTAAGACACCGCCAATAAAGTTTCCGTAGAATCTGACTACAGCCTGTACATACCCTTGAAACGCGCAAAAATCTTTGAAATCCCCTAAACCCTAAACCCCAAACCCTAAACCCTAAACCGTATAAAACTTCAAGAACCCACCCTTTTTCTTACGAGGGCCCAGGCCATCAGCTTCGTCTTATCCACTTGGAGCTCGGCTTCGTCTAAGAGCTGGGTGCCTGCACGTTAGGACGGCTGGAGAACGGTTTAGGGTTTACGGTTTAGGGTCTAGGGCTTGGAGATAGATTAGCGGAGCACTAGGGCTTCTCTGATCCCGTGGCGACGACTGGTACAGCTCAAAACATGCTTAGTAGAGTCGATGGCTATGAGTTGGCTGCACAGCTGTTTTCGGTGGAGGAGATGGGGGTGGGGGAGCATGGGGCCGGCGTGACAAACAGCTTTCATAGCGCAACAGGTCCCATCGAAGATACCCCTACCAATCCCTACCACGAACCACGCAACCCAAACAGACGGTACTTGGAGGCTCGCGAGTACTTATAAGTAGGGTTATATTCCCCCGAATATGGGCTAGAAGCTACAAGTCTAGTTACCCTATTTATATCCCCACTCACTAGTATCCATACACCTCCATGTAGGTCTAAACCTTAAACTCTAAACCTTGTTCACTTCAGCGCCACAGGAACTCACCGCGGCACCCTTGGAACATGCCGGGCAATAATTATAGGGTTTTGGGCCCCATTATACTATAATTAAAATAAAGAACCCTCAAAATAGCACCATAATATTAGTATTATTATAACTAGATTTCCCCTTCAGAGCTGCTTCAAGTGTCTGAAAGGATTTAGGTTTACATGGCCAGTTCTCCAAACTATGGTCCCGTTTAGAGTCTCTTTTTTAGGATGCCGTACTATTTTGGGGACCGAAAAACGGACCCCAGTTTAGAGAACTACCCACATGGATTGGTGCTGCCGCCGTCCGCCTGAGCCTTCCCTGTGAAAGAAGCGCCGGATGCAGAGCATCACCTGCAGCCGGTAGTGGCTTTTCAACCCTAGACGTTTAACCCTAAACCCCACTTCAAGGTCTAATGAGGGTTTGTCTTCTAGGGCATGGAGGCAAATTCCGTATGAGCATGGAGAGTGTTGAGCTTCGGGCTCAGGATTTCTGGAACTGCTCCGAAATGCTATGCGGAGCTTGAGGTTTGGGTTTACTTGGAGGTTCATGGGTAGCTATAAGAAAGGTCATAAGTAACGTAACTCTCTAATTGTAACCCATAAAAAGGGACTTATAACCCCACTTTTAACTACCCATGAACTTCCAAGAAGGGTTTGCGGTGTCTTGATTTTGCGTCCGAAGTCTTTGCAATGCGTTCTCCACACTCAGACTGGAACCATGTAGAGGCCGAAAGGGAACCTGACAATGATGACATGGGAATGCGGTCAAAGCACGGCTCGGCCCGTGGTGGAACCGATGTCGGTAATGGTCCCAGTGACGTGGGTGGTGCGAACCTTTGATGTTGGGGTTAAGGAGGATGGGGCTTTGGGGCTTCAAGGGAGGCTTAGGGTATGGCTCAGGGTTTGGGGTTTAGGATTTTGGGCTTCGCGCAGGGCATTGGGATGCAAGCGTCGAGGTTTCAAGCAATTTTTGACTGTCACGGTGCCCCTTTCTCCCACCTATGCTTGGCTGCTGTTTTTAAGGTGGGGATGAAAAGACAAGGAAGCCTCCAGGTGCACGCCGAGAGCAAAACAATCAACAGAACCACTTGCCGGATTAGCTACCGGTCAATCCGAGAGTTCGAATCCTACCTCAGACCCATAAGCCACAATTTATAGCCGAAACTGGGTTTGAGAATCCTAAACCCCCAGTCAACCGAGGTTTGTGGTATCTGGGGCGTGCCCCGTCAAGCCTTTGGCATTTCTCGGTTCAAAGTTTGGGGACCCGGGTGTTGGCTTTCAGGCTCGAGGGGGTCGTTTGTGAACTTGATGATTTCAAGCATTGGAATCTGGTTTTTGGATCTGATATGAACCCTTGATGATATTTCAACATCATAGATCTTATCCCATTTTTATGATCATCTTACAAAAAACCCATCATCAAGATATATCCGCCAAAATCGTCAGAAATGATGCTTAATACGACGTCAAACTTGAAGATTATTAAACGAAGGTTCTTCTAGATCCGAACATCTTTGTACTTTTTTGATCTACGAAGAAATCTCAGAATTTGAAGGGATCTTTTCGGATTGAAAAATCTTCGTTTGATGATGATGAAATCCCAAGTCAATCGTTTGATGTTTGCCGAATATGCTCCAACCATGCAGAACGAATTCTTGGGATTCTATGATGGCTACGAAATCTCTTCCTGGAAATCAGACGTCAAAGAGAGCAAAGTCACTCAAGAACTTTGTTGTCAAACCCGCGGGAAAATTCCATTTGATATATTCTATTTGGGTATTATTCGACGGAACCCAAAACACATTTGTCAGACGCATTTCCCAATCCTGATAAAAACTTACTCAAATTCTCTAGTCGATAGCCAGTAACTATCCAGATGAGCTCCATCATGGGTTCATGATGATCAAACAACGCGTCTAGATAGAAACCCGCTGCTACCTTCTGAGTATGATTAACTCGGATATTAGTCGACAGAATCTCACGTCTTGATTTTCTGGATCGTTTCCAACATTCGTCATAATAACTCATCCATTCAACTTTTCTAATCAAACACCAGTAGCTATCACAAAAAACCATCATCGCAAATGACTCGCAATTCTGTTCTCAGGAAGAGGCGCCACTCAGAAAAGCGCCATCCTGCAAAGCGGTGTGGCTGCTGGAGCTTGCCACACTTGCCCTGCCACTGCTGGACCGTCATGCCGGACTTGTGGACAAGGTAAAAGGTCAGCTCATCCAGCAGGGAGTGTTTGCCCGACCAGCAGACCTGCAGACTGGGCAAAATGAGAAAGAGCCGAAAGAACACAGAAAGAGAGAGGGAGAGAGAGGACAAAAAAGAAACAGCAAGAAGGAAAGCCCGCCTCCTTTGATTCTGCGTCAGCATCTTCAGCACATCCGGCGTCTGGTCCCAGCACGATCCGATTGACTGGGAAACAAACCTTGCCCCAGGAGCCCGGAAAGCCCAAGTTGTCAATCACCTGCTGCTTCGCAACAGACACGAAAGAGCACCGACAAGCGCCAAGCTTCAGACACTGCTCACCTCTGCTTGAGGGCCCAGCGTCCAATCGCCTTTCTGCAGCCTCTCTGCTGAACACCAAGCCGCTGACGTCGAACTTGCCGTTGAACGCGTCTTCAGCCTCGCCCCAGCGCAACTCAAACGCCGCAAGCCTACCGCCCCGTTGCCGCCCCATTGGCCCGTGCAATATGAACCAAGGAGACATCAACATCTTTGGGCATGCCCAGCTCGCGCACCAGAGAGTTGCAGTGGGACAAGTACCAATCCACCGGATAGACTTTGGGGCAGTCCATCATTACAATTTGGAGGCTCTTGTCTTGCATCAAAGTGTTGGGATTGTAATTTGCAGGGCTCTGTTTCTCATGTGGATAGATAGCTGTAGCTACCTAGATAGATGGATAGATAGATAGAGAGGAAGGACGTCGGTTCAGCTTCCTTCCCTCCTTCCTTCCTCTCTTCCTCTTTTCCTCTCTTCCTCTCTTCCTCTCTTCCTTTCTTTCTTCCTTCCTTCGTTCTTTCATCCATTCCTTCCTTCCTTGCTTCCTCTCTTCCTGCAAGTCTCTTTTGTGATCCAAAACAACTTTATTTGATCCTAATTTAATTTGTCTCGATCCCATTTTAGCTTGAGTTGGATCCCTATCCCGTACTTTGGAACTTAAACCCTAAACCCTAAACCCTAAACCCTAAACCCTAAACCCTAAACCCTACACCCCTAAAGAGCCGAAGCCCGCAATCCCCGAAGCCTCAACAACCCAACGCCCGAAACCGTAACCTCTCAAAGCATGAAACCCTGTTTAGGGTTTAGGGTTTAGGGTTTAGGGTTTAGGGTTTAGGGTTTAGGGTTTTGGGTTTTGGGTTGGGGGCAATGGCCGTGGCACGACCGCGCCGAAGTGCATGGTGCACATGGCGTTCTGAAGGCCGGCGGCCATGGCGGCCCAGTAAGGAGCACACTGAGACAGGGAAGAGTTGCTTTAGAGCTTGCAGAGGATACCTTACGCTAATGTATGATTTGAGTCCCTTGAGTCCCTAAACCCTAAACCCTGATTTGAAGTATATTTTGCGATGTTTCACAGGGCTTGTATAGGGTGTGCATAGAAATTGCAGCCTTTCTGATTTTATTTATACTGTTCTGAAAAGTAGGATGTAACTTGTATAAAGCTGTCTTGGGTCTGGAGTATTGGCTTCGTATTTCGGGCCCAAGTTCGAGCTTTGGGAAAGCAGGGCCTGTTCGATCTCGGCCTTCATTAAGGGACAATTCGAGGGCCCCCTAGAAGGGACCCATAAACCAAATAGCCTACAGAACCCTTATATACCCCCTATATAGTCTCATAAAGCCCCTAAACCCTAAACCCTAAATCTTAAACCCTTATATACCCCTTATATAGTCTCATAAAGCCCCTATATAACCCCTTTAAGGGTCCCTTTAAGGGTCCCTCCTTTCGTCCCTGGACTTCCTGGCTTTAGAGTTCAGGCAAAGAGAGGCCTGCTCGCTATGACAAAACTGTGTTTAGGGTTTAGGGTTTAGGGTTTAGGGTTTAGGGTTTAGGGTTTAGGTTTTAGGGTTTAGGGTTTAGGGTTTGGGGCTTAGGGTCAAGGGCAGGGCAAATATCAAAGTCACATCTGTTACCCACGATGCCCTCACTCAACCCCAAAAATGACATCTTGAATCCGAAGAAAGCCCAGATAAACCAAAAGCAAAAGCCTCCCAAAAGACGGCTGAACGACTCCCTCCTGCCCGTGCATGAATACGAAACGGCTGAAACCATAAAGCATAGGCTCACAAATCCCACTGTTAAAAGCCGGAAAAGCAAGGAGTATACCAAAACAAGATAAGCAAAAGCACAGCGGCAGGTCTACATGTTTCGTACATATTTATGCATACATACATACTTACATACATACATATATACATGTATAGATCACAGGTGATTATCATTTATAAACCAAACCTGTCGTAGCCTCATGGTCCGGCCAGAATTTTGCACAGAGTAGTAGGATGCCTTGAGACTGCGACGTTTGTGGTGGCGGATTAGGATGTAGAGTTTAAGGAGGCTTAGGTGTTTGTGTCTTTTCCTTTTTGAGGGGGGTGGTTGGTGCCTTAGGGTTTAGCGCGCAAGGGCCTTTAGGAATTACTGGCTTAGATGCGGGCTGAGGGTTCTTTTCGGGAGTCAAGGTTTTCAGGATTTTGGGAATTACGGTGTGGGTCAAGTACTCTCTCTTGTTAAGAGACGAGGCTTGGCTTTTGGGTTGTGTGGGTATAGGATTTAAGCCTTTTGTGGTGGCGTTCAGGGCCGAGGACTGAAGGTTCGGTCCTGCATTCTGCCTGCACCCTGAACGGTAATTCAAGGGTTTAGGGTTTAGGGTTTAGGGTTTAGGGTTTAGGGTTTAGGGTTTAGGGTTTAGGGTTGCTCAACCAATGCTCAGCCTCTCTGAAAACCTGCTCAACCCTATGCAATACGATGTTTAAACACCTATACAACCGTAGAGGGTCTGAGGTGACGACAACCTGGGGCCAAAAGACCCTAGAAAGTATGGGCCCTATATACCCTTGTACTATGAATCCCGATAGGGTATATCTGAAAAAGAAACAGAAACCCTAAACCCAAAACCTTATACTATGAATCCCTATAGGGTATATCTGAAAAAGAAACAGAAACCCTAAACCCTTAACCCTAAACCCTAAACCCTTAACCCTAAACCCTAAACCCTAAACCCTTAACCCTTAACCCTAAACCCTAAACCCTAGATCCCTGAGCCAGCCGAGCAGCACTCACCGATGAGCGCCGCTCCATAGAAGCCTTTGCCACCGAAGTGGATCCTCGGCGACTCTACGTGCGCTTAGGGCTTTGGTTTAGGGTTTACTTGGAGGGTCGGGGGACTTAGTAAGTGGGTAACAAGTAGACTTATAAGTAATCTGGTAGGGATCCTAAATCGGGTTATGATACTTATAACTGCATAAAATAACTACTTACTAAGTCCCCCGACCCTCCAAGTAGGGTTTAGGACTTAGGGTTTCAAGTTTAGGCTTCAACGCTTGGGGCTTGGGGCATGTGGGCTCTTTCCGGTTGTGTGCTTCATTTGAAAGGGTGTATTGAGGTCTGGCGTTTAGGGTTCAGGATCTTTCGGTTTTTGGGCTTCAAGAGTTTGAAACCCTAAACCCTAAACCCTAAACCAAACCGCTTCTTTGGGTTTGTGCTTGGAACTGGCTTCCGGGTTTGAGGCTTCTGGTTCCTTGTCCGGTTTAGGGTGACTCCCTAAATCCTTAACCCTAAACCCTAGACCCTAAACCCTAGACCCTAAACCCTAGACCCTAAACCCTAAACCCTAAACCCTAAACCCTAGACCCTAAACCCTAAACCCTAAACCCAAAACAAAGGTGTTTAGAAAGGCTGGCAAAGGCGATTGAGCATCCTGGGGTTTAAAGGATCTTCCGGTTTGCATAGGATACGATTGATGTAGGGGCCTTAATAGTCAGAATAAAGTTTTGGGGGCCCATTCCACTATAATTACCATAAAGGAACCCCCCAAAAAGTAGTATGGGTAATTCTTTAGGCCCCTATACTGTTTAGGGTTTAGGGTTTAGGGTTTAGGTTGAAGTGTTCAGGGCTTCGGGTTTTTTAGATGCTTCGGCTGCGCAGTTCAGGCTCTACGGACTTGGAGTCGAGAGTAGACATGTCGCTCTTCTGGGTGGAGGTGTCAAGGCTAAAGGAAAGTACAGGTGGGGAGTTTAGGGTATGTAGGGCTTCTAGAAGGCTTCTATGAAGTATATAGACCTTCCATGAGGCTCCTATAACGGTGACTACCCACGTGAAAATGTCCTAGACAAGGGGTTGAGATACAGTACCATCTTCATGATCCCTGGACATCTGATACCGTAGGAAGAAGGGTAGAAGTAGCCTTCATACAAACTTGCAAACATACAACCCTAAACCCTAAACCCGAACCCCTGAACCCTAAAACCTAAACCCTAAACCCTAAACCCTAAACCCTAAACCCTAAACCCCCTAAAACCCCAAACCCCAACGAACCGAGGCCCTGAACCTCCGGCTTTCCCACTTCATCTCAGGCGTGAGAAGGTCTCACTTGGAGGATCAGGGGACTTAGTAAGTCGGCTATAAGTAGAGTTATAAGTACCCTAAGTGGAGTTGCCCCAATTATAACCCTACTTTACTTATAACCGACTTACTAAGTCCCCTGGACCCCCAAGCAGGTTTGGCACTCCGAGAACAACATGCAAGGGACTCCCAGGTGCCCTCGGAACAATCCTGTTTAGAGTTGAGGGTTTAGGGTTTAGGGTTTAGAAGGGTTTAGAAGGGTTTAGGGTTTGGGGTTTAGGGTTTAGGTTTAGGGTTTAGGGTTTTCTTGTGCTCAATATTACGTTCGTACTCTATTCATAATATTAGTATAGTCTTCGGGGAGACCTGCGATGCACACCACCGCTAGTGCTGCAGATGCCGCTTGTTCCCTCAACCCTGTGACTACCAGGGCCTTAATCTATCAATTTATTCCGACCCCTTTGTGAAACCCAACGCCCGGAACCCGAAATTCCACCAATACTCCGAGGAAAATAAACAAAAGCAACCCTAAACCCTGAACTCGAAACTTGAACCCTAAAACGCAAACACCGACAAAAAAAAAACGAGATCCCCAACCACCAAAAACAAAACTAAACTTAGAACCCCAAACCAGGAAAACAGGCCTAAACCTTAAACCCTAAACCCTGGAGAAAAAAAACACGGAGGCAAGACCTTTAACCTAAACCCCAAAACGAAAACCCTAAACCCTAAACCCTAAACCCATCAAACAAATCGAGGCAAGACAGGACCAGCTGCTGTGTCTTCGGGATGATCAAGCCGCATAGGAAACTGCCAAAGCCTGGGTAGCTGGCTCTAGGGTTTAGGGTTTAGGGTTTAGGACCTATCTATCTACTATTTGTCTGTCTATCTGTCTGTCTATCTGTCTGTCTATTTGTCTGTGCTGTCTGTCAGTCTGTCTATCTACGTATCTACCTATCTACTCTGTCTTTCTACCTGTCTATCTAACCACTCACTATTCTATTCTTTCTATCCTGCAGCCTGTCGTCTAAACCCCGAACCCAACCCCAAATGAACCAAACCCAAAAAAAGCCGGTAGAGGCCTGCATGCTTTCCCGTTCTTGGCACAAGGCTGCCAAGGACTCAGGGCCGTGTACTGTGGGAGTTCTGGGATTGAGGTCTGGAGTCCGGGGGTTTAGGCTTAGGGAATCCCGGGCACATGGTGCAAAGGTTTGCAGTCGGGTTGCTCTAAGTGCTTGGGGTGTAGGGCTCGTCCTTTGGGGTGTAGGGCTGGTTCGTTGGCCCAAAGCCAACGCAACGCAAAGGCGAAAAGACGAGACGAGGAGCAGAAGAAAAGCACGCAAAGGCCCATCTGCTTCGCCTGTTCAGCCAGTATGGGATCGAGGCGCTGAGATCTAGGGCTCACCCCAGAGAGCCCCATACCCCTTAATTAAGGAATATACCCTAAATCATAATAGTAAGCCCCTTATAGTTTGAGGTATATTGCCTAATTAAGGGGTATTGGGCTCTCTGGGAGTGCTTGGAAAGGATGGAAACTCAAACTTGGGGCGTGGGAAATAAGCTTGGCGGATACTTTTCAGCACCACTGGTTCAGAATTGCTTGTGCATGCTTGATGAAGGCAGATGACGAAGAACTGGTGCTGAAAACGATCTGCCCTGATCACACTTTCGATCCTCACAAGCTTCGGGCTTTAGGGTTGAAATTTGGGGTTTGAGGGGAAATTTTCGAACTGAGAGCCTGTTCCCAGCCCATGTGCTCCACGCTCTCGTTCTCCAGCCACAAGCCCAGCTTGGCTGTATTGCCTGCGAGGAAAACATCTTGCAAATAGCCAGTGCAAGCTAGAAGACGACTGAAGTCTGAGGAACTGTGACCTAAAGTTACCTGCAAAATAATATTCCGACTGGCACATGCCAAGTCAGAACAAATGAGGTAAGCAATGCCCGAGCGATCTCAATACAAGTAGCAGGAACATGATAGTAACCCATATCCCCAACATGATCACCGTTATCACATTCAACACCATCATCAAACCCTAAATCGTGCTGCAGGGTCCTGTGACGTGCGTCGTCGTCACGCCGAAGGCTTTGAGGGAGCCTGCGCTCTTCCACTTGGAAGTTTCTTAAAACAAGGGAGTACCTTACTTTGGTGGTCCTTAGAATAAGGATCCTACTATTTAGAGTGCTATGTTAGGGTCCCTATTGTCGGAAACCCCCACTTCAGCTTGTGGTTTAGAGATTAGGGTCCGACAATCTAGGGCTTAGGGTTTTGGGGTTCAAGGCTTTGGAGCTTGAGCTTAGGGTTGGGGTTAACCGTGAACACTTTAGGGGTACTATATATTATGAATGATGTGCTACTGTTGATGGTATAAATCCTGCATTACCCTAAGGGCCGTAGGCTGTGGGAATTCTGGTAGATTCCTTATTATGGGTAATGCAGGATTATATCATCAACCGTATCTACTATAGACTATATGTTATTTATCTAGTGTATCAGGCTACAGGTCTAGGGCTTATTTATGGCTCCGAGCTTTCTGCAGGATTCCCGGGCTTTCGGATGTAAGAATGTCGGAGAATGTAGGCGGGGCCTGAATAGGTCCCCAGCATTCCTAAACCCTAAACCCTAAACCCTAAACCCAAACCCCAAAACCCCAAAACCCCAAAACCCTAAACCCGTTCAGGATTTCTGTTTCGAACTATACCTTCAAGAACCCCCCGAAAACCTACTCAAAATCATACGTCTCCAGGCCCTTACATTGTCATGCTTGACCCTGGTGTTTTGGCATGAGCTTCGGGACACGTTTCAGGTTTAGGGTTTAGGGCTTTGGGGTGTAGGGTTTAGGATTCAGTGCAGCGCAGGGGCGACGACCGTCCAACCCCAATGAATTGGCGGGGTCCAGGGTCAGCGTTACGCCCCTGAGCCCCAAGGAAGGGCTTTGGGCCTTATAGTCTGTATTTTTTTTTGAGCACCTTTTTCCAACTCGCATTGGAAGTCCCCATGGGGTAGGTGTCCTTGCGCCCCTCAGATAGTCTGTATTTAGGGGTTTAGGGTTTAGGGCAGAATATTGTAAAGCCTAGAGTCTATAGCATAGTCTATCATGTAGAAACCTGATGAAGACGTCCTGGTCCTATAACACGAAAATGTTCGGATCAATACAGAAGGCCCTCAGAAAGACCCAACCTTTCTTAGTCAGGCTCCTACGGTAAACCCCCAAACTGCCATAGGACCCTTGTAGCATCCTTTACAGGAACTCTTATAATACCGCAGTAATCGTAAACCCTAAACCCTAAACCCTAAACCCGGTTGCGGACACGTGGCCTACGTCCACCATGCCGGCCATAAGGCAGAGCACGTTGCCGAAGATCAGCATATACCTTGGTCGGATCCTGCTTGATAGCGCTACTTTAAAAAAAGTAGCAGACTCTAAACCCTAAACCCTAAACCCTAAACCCCTAAACAGCAACAAGAAAAAACAAAACCGGATCCCTAACATTGACCAAGATACCATTGGGGCCGCTTGAAGCTGGCCTGAACGATGGCTTGCAATTGCAGGTTTTAGGGTTTAGGGTTGAGGGTTTAGGTTTTAGGGTTTGTTTGGGCTTTAGCGTTTAATGCAGAGTTCGGCTAGGACCCTTAACCCTGCATTTCAAAGCCCTTGCAGATAGCTTGGGGTTGCAGGCGTTGGTGCTTAGGTAAAGTTCGATTACAATCTAGCTTAATCTCGATGAAGGCTTCGTTGAATGTACATTGGTGGTTCGGGATAGCTTTCACTGGCTATTTCTGCTATGCTTATATCTGGACTTGGGTTTCGTTGTCGGGATCAAGGTTTGATATACAAACCGAAAAAATGCTGTTCCTCAGGGCTCCTAAGTATTATAATCAAAATCGAACATCCCCTAAAACCCTATTCTAATGATTCAGGTCCCCATTTCGGTGCGTCGGGCCATATACATCCTGCCAGAGCCCAAACCCCTTGTTTCCGTCACACCTGTCGTGCCAAACAACTTCATGACGCTTTTGATGTCGATGCTACTACTGTGAAGGATTGCAAAAGCCTCATGACACCCTGTTAAAAGTCAGAAGGCCTGGAAAAAACGGCAGCAACTTGTAACGACCTGTCAAACAGTGTGAGCTTACACAACCCAACCCTGAATTCCAAACAAACCCGAAGCCGGCGGGCAGAAAGACGGTTTTTTGTAAGGCTCTTTTCCGACTGCATGAGTACAGCTAGAATTCCATACCAGGAGGAGCCTGTCATTGGGGCCTTCAGTAATCCAATTACGTTGGTGTAGGGTTAGGAGTAGGGTTTAGGGTTCAAAGTTCACCCAGTGCCCAATACAGGAGCCTTCAGCCTTAGACTAGGGTTTGGGGGATGGATGTTCCATTTATTTCAAGGGAATCAAGGAAGTGCATTACGAGTTGTTCAAGCTACTATGCGACTTATTACTATCGCGGACACCCACCCGAATCAGCTTTACAACCCACAATGCTGATTTCAAAACATAATGAAAACGACCCGGGAACCAATGTGTATGCGCTGTTGAAATCTTTGTAGAAGCGTTACAGAAGCGTCAAAGAACCGTACGCAACCCTGGCTTCAGGGCCTAAACGCTAAACCCTCCACCATAAACCCTCGGTTGAAATCTCGAATGCACCTTGGTGCTCTCGGCTTTGGCCTCTTCGTAGAGGGCTTCAGAAATTGTTGTGGGTTTCGGGCTTAGGGTTTAGGAATGCTTCGGCTGTGTTCAATTCTGCGGGCTGTATAGAGTGTTGCAAGCTTTCTTGTTTCAGCGGCTCCTCAAAATTGCGCCCCATAACCCTAAACCCCAAACCCTAAGCCCATTAAACTCTACAGGGTCCTTTCAACTTTCAATATTTAACCCCATAACCCGAAACCCAAAACCCGAAGCCCTTTAAAAATCTGTAGGGGTTTCGCAGCCTCATTTGTGGGCAATACGGTTTGCAGAATTCAGTGGTTCGAGACGGAGGCTGGGAGACCTTGGCTTCGGGCTTAATGTCCGGGCCTTCATAATTCGAACAGGCTTGCGGGCTATCTCTATAGTAGAATTATAAAATGGGGCTTCTCTATAGTAGAATTGTATAAGGGGGCCGAAGGAATAATAGTGGCCATTATTCGGGCTGTTCTGTATAGTAGAATTATAAAAGGGAGCCTAAGGAATACTAGTGGCGCCATTATTTGGGCTTCTTTTAGGGTTTAGGGTTTAGGGTTTAGGGTCTAGGGTTTAGGGTTTAGGGTTTAGGGTTTAGGGTTTAGGGTTTAGGGTTTAGGGATCAGGCTGAGGCTTCTTGGTTCGGGTTTGACGTGTTCGGGGCCTTTTTCTGTTTCGGCCTTCGATTCGGATGCTCTAAGATCTCCTGCCTTTCGGAGTAATGTAGGGGCCTTAATAATTTGAATAAGGTTTTGGGGCCCTTTATACTATAATTATAATAAGGAGCCCTAACAGTAATATTGGTAATTGTTTAGGCTTCTAAATTAAAGGTTTAGGCAAGATGTCATGGGCCGTCCCATGCGAGAAGAACTCAGGAGATCTTTCAGAGAAGAAGTTTGGGCTTTGGGCTTTGGGTTTAGGGGTTCAGGGCTTAGGGGTTTCGGGTTAAGGGTTTAGGGTTCGGGTTTAGGGTTTAGGGGTTGAGGGCGTAGGGGTTTCGGGGCTTAAGGTTTAGGGCTAGGGGCGTATCGAATTGAAACGACAGCCTTCGTTGCGCCTGTGGTGTTGGCACTGTACATTCCACACAACTTGTGGATCCACGGCGAGCAAAGAACCCAAAAACCCAAACCCTAAACCCTGACCCGCAAACCTTAAATCCTAAACCCTAA